CAAAAAAAATAAGATACGGAACAGAAAAGATATTACGCATAAGAGTAGATTTGTTTTTTGCGAACTTATTGAGAATGGGGAGTGATGTTGTTGATGTTGATGATGATGATGATGATTATGATGCCGATCACAATGATCGGACTAAAATTATAATTGCGAATGTGAATAAATTCATGAACGGTGATGGTAAACATGGACTGAAGTATAAAATAAATGAAATCGATGATGAATGGGAAGTTCGTCTGGCCTGCCTGCCACCAGTTTTGCTCACCCTCTCCAAACATGTTTTTTTTTTATTTTTAATTAAATAATATAATTACTACCCTCGTTATCAACAACCTTTTTTTTCTTTTTTTTTTCATCTAGTATGCAAATTTGTAACCTTTGCTTATCACACTTGGTCCAAAGGACTCAGACCCTTTTTTTTTTTTTGTTTGCAACTTGAATCATTTTTCACAATTGTTCAATATTTGATAAATTTTGTAAATTAATTTAAATTTTAATTTAAACCTATAAAATCTATATAGTCTTTTTAAGTGAGTATTAAAGAAATTTTCAAAAAAATGTTCAAGTAAATCTATGCAATGGTTTTTTTTTTAATAACGATTTTTCTCGTCCGGGTCCAAAGGGCCCGGGTGTGGTAAGCGTGTCCCCCCTCCCACTCCAGGAAGGGTGGTAAGCAAAGGTTAATATTGGACAGATAAAAATATGAAAAGGTTTTTGATTAAAATATAAACATTGATATACGTAGAAATGACATTACTTTCTGGTCCCCATAACATATATAGATGATTATTAAAAAATTGGCATTAATTAAAAAGTAATGTGACACAAAAGAATACACGATGATGGTGATGGTTTGTTTATGGCCTACTTTTATATATTTTTTTTAATCCTATGTTGTCTAACAATCCTATTGGAGAGAGACGATTTGATTCTTTCAAAAATAAGGAGGAATAGATATTCCTACCATTTTTTTTTTAGCTTGTGTAGGATCGATCAATTTTTATTTAAAACAAAAAACCAAAAAAAAAAAGAAATGTGAAGATTATTTATAAGAAAAAAARAAAACCCCAATACGTGTGTTAAATTGTCGAATTTTCTTTCTTTTTTTTTTATTATTTATATTTTATTATTAATTAATATTAAAATATTGAAATGTGTACGTTTCAAAAGAAAAAAAGGAAGAAAAAAAAGGGGGATATAAAATGCGATTATTTAAGATAGAAAAACGTGTGTGTGTGTGTGTGTTCGTTCATGCGTTTACGTGAAACTACTTATGACAGAAATAAAAAAAAAAGAAAAAAAAAGAAAAAAAAGAATTAATAATTTATTCTATTAATAAAATAAATATATTATTTATTAGGGGGTGGAGAGGGTGTGGCAATGTCCGTATGATGCGAGTTAGATTTGTATTTGATTTTATGAATTTGTTGTGACAGTCGTGTGATTCGTGAAGTCTGTGCTTGTGAAGAAGGGTTTACACTTGAAAATGATGATTATGCGACTTCGGCCACATAGCTTATGTGTGTGAGATCGATGATGATGATGATGATGATTCTAATGATGCTAATGATACTAATGATGATGATGATGATGATGACTGTGAACAATTGTTGAGGAAAGTGTGCCTAACGTGTATAATCGGTCATATTAATGATACACCTATGTGCGTGTATATGTGTTTTTTTTTTGTGAAAAATAAAACAGAGAAAACGTTTTGGATGTTTTTAACATCAATAGGGAAAATAAAAAAAAAAAAGAAAAAGGATTATTGGAAAATGATTTTGGTTTTCCTTAATAAAATGGAACAACGAAACAAATTGGGCATATCATTTGACAATGAGTGTTAGAAAAATAAAGAAAATAAATCATCCGGATTTTAAAGTAATTTTCATTTAACAAAAAATAAAAAATTGATAAAAAAAAAAAAAAAAAACATTAATGTGACTGATTATACCATCGAGTGTAAGAAGAACGGATTATACGAATCGCCAAGCGACAGTGCCATATATAATTCCAAATCATAACACACACACACACAACAGAGCTAATTCACCACCACATCGATTTATTATCCTTACGACACTTACTACACACACGAACAGAACAGAACGAAGAATAAAGGAAAAAAGAAAAAAGAAGAAAAAAGAAAAATAAAAAAACGAAGAATGAAAAATAGAAAGCAAAAAAAATTAAAAAAAAAAAAAAAGTGTTTACGTAAATCTATTGTGTTACTCTTTAAATCGAAACAAGAAGAAAGAAAGAAAAAACCGAAGAGAAAGAGAAAGAGAGAGAGAGAGAGAGAAAGATTTCAAAATTAATTATTTTCAACAAATTTCCAATTTACAATGGAAAGCAAGTAAAATTGCTTCTTCTACCCCACTACCACCACCACCACCACCATCACGTCTTTGCATGGGATATTTTTTTCCCTTCGACATACTTAAAGATACATTTGTTCGGAAATAAAATTTCATTCGAAATTATTTTCCTATATACGCGCGAGAACACACACAATCAATCAACAACGGTTGGTACTTCGTCTTCAGCCTCCCTGCCCACCCACCCTCCCCCCATCATTTTTACCAAAATGATTCGTTCTTTTTTTTGCTTGACAGGGGGGGGTGTGTTTTTTCCTCCCTCATTGTAGTATTTATTTCTATGTTCAATTTATTAATTAACCCTTTGCACTCGAAGCTTTTTTCGCTTGCATTAACCAACAACTTGAGAAACGATTTCAATCAAATTAAGGGAAACACACTTTACACGTATTTTTAAAATTATTTATAAACAAACAGATCTGTAGATATATACATAATACAATTTCATCAATTTATTTATTTTTATTTTTAAAAACAACCAAATATTTGTATGATATTTCGTGAAACAATATCCCAAGATCAGGTTTATCATGACACGTATCACAATAATCTGTTACTTCTTGCCTAACTTCAGGTGTATTACGATCAGAACAAACCTTACAGTCCCTTTTCAACCCTTCAAGTATTATCTTTAAGTATATCTTAAAAGAAATCTCTTATCACAGATCGTAAATAAATAAATCGAGTAACAAAAGACTTTCAAATTAGCTGGGCGCCGTATCAGCGGCGCTCGAGTTGCCATTGAAATTTGCTCAGGTGCGTTTAACATTCAAAGTTAATTTTTCTCAAAAACAAAGCATCAAATGAACAATTTTTATTCTATATTTTCGATTTATTTGTTCATGTAGAATCATCCCCCTTTTTCGCTTGTATCACCAATTTATCGATCACCCTGTATATTATTGTACAAATCTTTGACGGTGGTAAAGAAAGAGAAATTAGTTGCATCAAAATGGTCGAAAGGTGAATATAGGGGGCTGTTATATAGCGTAATGTCAGCAGTGTTCTTAATCTCCTTTAAGTACCCTTAACCCAATTGAATTAGAAGGAGGGGTGGGGTGAGGGTGCAGGGGAGGGTGCAAGGGAGGGTGCATACTACTGACTTTTCTTCTCCACGTATCGTATAGTTTTCTATCGTTTCGTATATGCACTTGCTTGGTTTTATTTCTATCCTATCGTGCGTATGCGCTGTGCACACCAAAAAAGAACAAAAAAATAGAACGATATTTTTTCCTTTCACTCTTGTATTATAGTTCGATTAGTAGAACCCATTTAAGAAAGGAAGAAAGAAAGAAAGAAAGGAAGAAAGAATAAAAGTCAAGCCTGATTCATCAAAGTCCGATAATCGTTTTTTTTTTCTTTTGCCTAATATTTGTCATAGAAGTTGTGTGTGTAGGAAGCTTTTGAAAAAAAAAAAAAATAACAAAGTTGTCGAAACATTGTTTTTTTTTTTTATTTAAATTTCAAATCATTTTTATCGTACAAACATTTTTTTTTTTATTGATATATATATATATATATTTATATTTGAAAATAAAAATCTAGTGGAATAATATATAATACTACGACGTGTTGTACACCATATTTAGGATTAACGATATCTTTTGGTAAGTCATTTTACTTTACAAGTCACTTAACAATTTTATGGAAATATTTCGAATATATCCAAGGATCGAAAAAAAAAAAAATTTGAAAATATATAATAATATAAAATAATATAGAAAATTAATTTTAATTTAATATTAGATATGAAATTGAATATTTCTATATTTAAATATAAAATATAAAATTATATTATTTTATTTTATTATTAATTTATCGAATAATATAAAATAATATAAAATTAATTTCTATATTTGTTTTTTATTTATATTATTAATAATATTATTATTTTAATTTAATATTTTTATATTAAAATATAAAAGATATATATGTAAATTGTAAAATTATATTATTTTATATTATTCTAAAAATGGACAGAACTTCCTGTATATATATATATATATATATATATACTTCTGATAATAATTTGGGCAAAATTAAAAAGAAAAAAGAAAAAATATCAATCACCCCTTGCATTATTAGTAGTAATTTACCTATAAACCTTTATTCACCATTTTCGCACGATTAAAAACTGATTCATGAGAAAACGAAAAACAAACAAAGAAGAAAACAAAAAAAAAAAAGAAAGAATCGCAGAATAAAAGGGATTGAGAAAGAGTGTTGTGGGGCTTGTTTGTGTGAAAGAATCAAAAAAACAAAAAAAAAAAAAAAAAAAAAAAAAAAAATAAGAAGTAAGAAAGTGTGACATGATAAAATAGAAATAGAGAAAGTAAGTATGTTAAATAGAGAGAAAGAGAGAAAGTAAGAAAGAAAGTAAAAAAGAGTAATAAAAAGGAAGGATAAAAATTGGTTGATTGATTGACGTTTTGGTTCCCATGTCCAAGCAGAAAACGGTGTAGACGAAGCCAAGTGCTGATGCTGCAAGGGTGGAAAGGAAAACGAGCAAGATGCAACAACACCTGTCATCTCATTTGAATCTTCCTCGGGATGGGGATAATGCATCACACCTGACTACGTTCTAATTTATCGTCGAGAGCTTTTGGTGGTAACAAGTACGAGTCCAAAGTTCCTCATGAAAATGCAGGAACAAACCGATGATTATCAACGACAGGATGATGCCAACAACGTCGATGAAAAAACTAAAAAAAGCAACGATGAAGTAAGTATAATAAATTATTCAAGGTTTGTTTGTTTTCTTTTTTGGGGAGCGGGGGTGAGGTGAGGAGGGGAGGGGGATGAACCTGTACATTTATTTTCTCCTTTTTTTTTCGTATACTTTAATTATATATATATATATATATATTATTCGAACAAGTTGGGAAAAATATCAACGTAGTATTTGATCAAATTGAAAGATGTTAGAAAAGACAGGGGACAAATGGTGGACAAGGATCCACCTTGGATGGGATTAATTATCAGTAATTATACGTAATTACGTACGACCTATGTAAAAATGCTATTAAATTATTAATTATTATTATTAATCCTTAATAATAAGGATTATAATCCAATAAATTTGAAATGATTGAACATGTGAGTGTTCAAACATGATTTTCGAACTGAATAGGAGAGATTCGATAATTTACAGCGAATTAGTTTTATACTTTTATATATATCATGATGAGTATATACTCGTTGAACTCAGTTTCTATACTAAACGATTGAAAACAAAAAGTAGAGTGTCCATGTGTGGTGTCATAGGAAGGATTCGATCTTGACGATCTTTTGCCGATCGTTGGTGAATTTGGCCGTTATCAGAAACAACTGTTATGGCTCGTATGCCTACCGGCATGCTTGCCTTGTGGTTTTTGTGCTTTCAATCAGCTATTCATGGCGGATACACCAGCCCATTGGTGCAAAGTACCTGGACTGGAAAATATGGATATTTCTCGAAGAAGGAGACTCGCCATTCCTACCAGTCAGGTGCCTTATAGTTGTGAAAAGATATTTTATTTATTTTTTTGTTTGTATTCACTTTAAATCAACTCTCGTCAGCTTGAAGAAAGTCTCCCAATGTAGGCTTAATTGTATATATATATATAGTAGGTTGATCCAATAATTGAAAATGAAATTTATTTCATAGCGCTTTATCCTAGCAAAATTATAATATTACATTGTTTGTCTAAAATTTGTATAAACAATTTATACATTAAATTTAACAACTAATTTAGGAAAGATATTAATATAATATTAATATTGTTATATATATTAATTATATATAATATATTAATAATTACTATATATTTATTAAATTATATATTTTAATAATTATTATTATATATTATATATATTATATATTGTATATAATAATAATTAATAATATTATAATATAATGCAAAAGAATACAATTGATGGCAAAGATCGCACCTCGTAGAAAGCTCGTTCGTATGTGCCTGAACCATGAAAAACTACGCTAAAACCCATTTAAGTTCGTAATAGTATTGAAAGGACATTTTTACGGCAGGATGACAACGAAACGTACAGTCAATGCACACGATATGACGTCGATTGGACGACAGAAAATGCATCCAATACGAGAACAAACTCTTCGTGGTCCATAGTACCCTGTGATCATGGTTGGGAATACGATACTTCTGACATCACGTCATCGATAGTTATTGACGTACGTAAAAACCTTTGGTTTTTTTTTAGTATCGTTCAATTATCGACGTTCGGATTAAAAAAGGATTTTTTTTTAAATGCCTTACAGTTTGATCTCGTTTGTGAACGTGCTATTTATCCAACGATCGGTTTGGTTGCATTAAATACAGGTGGACCTATTGGAGTTTATCTTTTTGGTAGTTTAAACGACAGGTAATTATAATTTTATAAAACTAAAATAAAAAAAAACTAAAACTAAAAAATTAAACTAGTAAAAATTAATCAATTTCTTAACGAAGGATACATCTCGAATGTTTTAGCAATGTAATTTGTTCTCCTTGAAAAAATCAAACTTCTGATCGTTTTAAAGTACAACCTTAATTATTTTTATACTATAACGATATTATGTTTTTACAGAATCGGTCGTAGACTATCTTTCTTTACGTGTTTAGCGACATTGATTACCGGTGGTTTTCTCACGTCCATATCTAACAGTTTTTGGACATGGGCAGCTACCCGAATGGTAGTTGGTTTAACCATACCCGCTATTTATCAAATACCCTTCATCATATGTAAGTAATTTCTTTTACTTTATGATTGTATGGTATCGTTAAATAAATATATGACGATTATTTATTTTTTTTTTTAGCGTTAGAATTGGTTGGACCTAATTATCGATCATTCGTGACAGTAATGACGTGTAGCTTCTATACAATGGGTTTATGTATGCTAGCAGGTGTTACCTATTTAATAAGAGATTGGAGGATGTTAGCAATTACAACGAGTGCTCCTTTTCTATTATATTTCTTTTATTGGTGGTAGGTGTGCATTAAATACCTGCTATTATCAATAAACCAAATAAATAAACCAATTAAAAACCAATAATAAATAAAAGAAACATCCGTAAATCTAGTGTTAAATATTCGAGCTAAAACACTATTATGAAAATATACAAAAATTATGAACAAAATTATAGGTTCCTTCCTGAATCTCCACGATGGTTATTGGCTAAAGGTCGATTGGTAGAAGCGAACGATATTCTTGAAACTTTAGCACGCGTCAATGGCAAAGAACTTCCAGCATCATTCACGCAAAAGCTTCGTCAACGAATGACAATGTCCAGAACGAAAAGTGAAGAAGAAAGGCTACGCAATGGACCTGGTGTCTTGTCTCTTTTTAAAACACCAAATATGCGTTTAAAGACCTGCCTTATTACATTAAATTGGTAAATCATAATTTATATCTTTTAAATCACAGTATTATTATATTTTGATAAATCAATATCTTAACATTTTCGCGATTGTCAACATAATGTCACGTTATTTTAACATTTTTAACTGATCAGAATTTTGAACAACAAATGATTAGAATAATTATGCAATGTCAAGTGATATTTTCTATATTTATACATATTTAAAAAAAAAAAAAGGAAAAACCTGTAGAGTACTCATTTGTCAGTTATAGATACTTGCAAAAAACGTATGCGTTACTTGGTTAAGAATTTTGATTCACAATTAGAACCGTCGATCGCGAAATGGTTAATACTTTTTATTTATTTGTTCATTTAATTGTATTCAATTGATCGTCAGGTTTGCCAATAATATGGTATACGTTGGATTGTCTTATTATGGACCTGCACTTGGAAACGAAGAACATCTTAGTTTTCTTTTTTCATCGTTAGCCGAAATTCCCAGTTATATGGCTTGTTGGATAGTCATGGATAGGTGGGGTCGCAGATGGCCGTTGTGTCTTTGCATGGTTGTAGCCGGTGTCTCTTGTATAGCAACAGTTCTACTTTCTGCTGGTATAATTCTATTGATTGATGAATTTACAAATATATCATTGCTAAAAATAATTTGTATTCCTTACTCGAATTAAAATATACATTGAATTATTTTGCTTTTATAGATGCTGTTGTAGCCACATTAGTATTGTTTCTTTTATCAAAGTCTGCAATATCAGCCTCGTTTTTGATCATATATCCGTTCGCTGGTGAACTGTATCCAACACAATTACGCGGTGTTGCAATTGGTTTCTCCGCTTATATCAGCGGACTTGGTCTTATCATCATTCCATTCGTTACATACTTGGTGAATATATTAATTGTATTGTTAATACAATCAAAGAAGATACAAAAATGGAGAAAAGAATAACAAATCGAATGAGTGTTCTTTATTACAGAATATGATTTTGTTTTTGTTTTTTTTTTATTTACAGGGTAAGGAAAATTTAGTTTTGCCTTTGGTAATTTTCGGCTGTGTCGCGGTGATCGGTGGTCTTTCGGGTTTACGATTACCAGAAACTTTACACCATCGACTTCCGCAAACAGTTGAGGAAGGTGAACTCTTTGGAAAGGATTGGACTTGTGCAGATTGTATTAGGTGCATACCGACTAAGTAAGTTTAAATTATATGTTCGTTTGAACCTATAATTGTTCTTTGTGAATTTAAATGAATGTTTTCTGTTTATTGTAGACCTTCATCTGTAGCGGCTTCCTATGAGGACCTGTCGGCAAGAGAAACTGTTGAAATGCACGAGGTACCTGAACTTCCAATGACTCAAACAACTACACCAACACAAGCGATATCTCAAAGAATTTTAGAGGAACAACAAAGACCGAGCAGTGCGAGCGTTCGCCGTCTTGTTCGACAATCTAGCGTGATGGAGACACAACGAGACTCGGATGGTTCTATAAAGATGACATATTGGTTTTAGAACTCGAACAAATTCGAACAGAATCGTCTATTATTTATACGTTAGTCCTTTAGTTTTTACGTAGTCCTATATTCATAATTTATAGAAAATTATCATTTTTCTAAAAGTATTACTATTTACCATCGTGCTTTGTCATTATCATTTTTCTTCCCCATTAACTTTATTTTTCTTTCTTTCGTTTCTTCTTTCTTTCTTTTTAACAAATAGAAGATATAGATTGTAAAATTAAACGAAAGCCCATTTTTTGTTTCTTAAAATTCTTTTTCTTCTTATGGTCGTTTTTTTTTTTTTTTATTTCTACGATAAAAGATTCCTGTCTTACGTTGCAATTTATTCGAATAGATTTGGTATACAAAACACGAAGACAAAGAGAAATAGAGAGAAAGATTAAGAGAGAGAGAGAGAAAGAGAAAAGAGTGCCTTCATTTGTAGTGCAGTCGTGTTCAAGATGGATACGAAACAATCGTCCTCTTTCGTTTCGGTCTCATAGTCTGGTAGTCCTGTTGTAGCAGCTACGAAAAATAAGTATTCGCTAGCATCTTATCAATTGATTTCATTATATGTAATCAAAGAGAGAACAATCTTACAGAAAAATGTCCTCCCCTTTCAAAAAAAAAAAAAAAAAAAAAAAAATACCTTTCCAAGAGACGACGTTTCAATTCTGGGGGATATGCGACGTATATGTAATGATCTGGCATTTCTTCGTTCGTAGATGTTAGATTATCGTCTTCACCATCCATTTTTCTTCTATCTATCAATCTACCCTCGCCATGACCACTCTGATCGTGTAACGATGACGTACCCGTAAGACTTCCATCGTTGTAACTTCCCGAATTGTCGAGCCTCTCTTCGTCTCCGGTACTACAAAGGTATAATGAGAAAATAAACAATTTATTTGAAATAAGTTTATCTTGAATTATTAATTTAACATTGGGTAAGCTGGATAAAATTATTACAGTAAACTCCCGTATAACTTTTAGTTAATATTTAACACGTTCGTATGAAATTAATAAGTTATATGACAATTTTTATTAATCATCAATTTTTAATTTACAATTTTATTATTCGTAAGAATATATGTATTGGATATGTATGTATATATATATATATATATATGTTGAGAAAAAATGGTTTCTTTTTACCGCAAATTATTCTTAACGCATTTGCATCCAAGCGCGGAATAATCCGCGAGCTGCGATTGTCTGCTATCACCGAATACGAGATAATTCGCATAAGAAACATTTGTTTTTCTATCTGTGAGTACTTGTTGAACGGTGATACATGCTGGTTAGTCGTAAGTCTTATGTCTCTCGGATATTTCAACAAGAAAGACTAATTATAATAATGATGCAAATAGGTTAATAACACAATAATCAACAATTTAAAACAAATAGCAATTATAAATGAGAAATAATTTGTAACGTATATAAGATAACAATGTAATGCTCAATTAATCTTGTAATAGCATATAACAATTAGCAGATAAGAATTAATACGTTACGATACTTTAAATACAACGTAAGTAAATTTCAACTTAATATATTATTATTATTATTATTATTTGGTTTCTTTTTATTGGATAATATTATAGAGAGAGAGAGAGAGAAATCCCCCATTTGTTATTAATTAATCACATAAAACGTAAATTATTATTACATAAAACAATCACGCTCTTTTGGTCAATTAGTTTCACCCTTTAAAAGGTTCAATTTTTAAATAAAAAATGAATTTCCGAATTTAATATACGAAAAGTTCATAGGTCAAAACGTTTAATTACACTTAAAAAAAAAAAAAAAAAAATGTTGAAAAATATTATCAAATTATTTGATAAGTATTATAAACCTCTCATATCTAAACATAATATCTTTAATAAATATAACAACAATCAATGATTTACAATTCGTACGATCATTCCATGATAAATGATACGATTATTTTCATATTTTTTTATTTTTTTTTTATTTGTCTTCTATACTTTTTTGTTTAGTAAAATTCCTTAATTCGGCAAATATGGAGTGACTCATACATATCGCATGTTGTATGACGCGCGAATCGTTTTATATATATATATAAAAAAAAAACAATAAGTTTTTTGTTATACGGGTGTTTACTGTATTTATATCATCGACTTTAATATCATCGAGAAACTGAATTTTTTTTGGGGTTTTTTGTTTGTTTGTTTGTTTGTTTGTTTGTTACCCCCAGTTGCACGGTTAACGTATTACATACTTGAAGAGAACCCAGATGACGTAATAGCAGGCATAAATCGAAGTGCAGAAAAGAGCCATAAACGTAGCGAGCAGATACCAAGGTGTCTGACGTTGTTGTCGTTTAGTATCCTCCCAATATCTATCACAACTAAGGTACCAACAGATAGCCCGGTTAAGTTCACCTAATACAACAAAGAATTAATTTATAATACATTATGAAAAGATTTGTTATTTTGATAAATAAATGAAGTCCCCAATTAAATGATTAAATAGATCGTTTATTTAATTTAACGTACCTTCGATTTCTTGAAAGTCTCGAACCGAAAGATTTGCGAGAAGTCCCGCGATACAATCGCGGACGAGTATCTGTCGACAAAAAGCTTGTAAATAATAGCATTTTCTTTTCCGATGTAAAAATGTTATATTATCTTGGATTATTTATCGAAAGTATTGTTGTACAGATTTCTACATAATTATGTATGTTGCGATATTTAATAAGAAGACATATATATGTATTATATTAATTAACGAGTTTGTCATTTTTTTTTTGAACTACGTATACTACGTGCGTCAAGAAGTGATGTAATTTCATGAAAAAAGAAAAAAAGTATTATTTGATAAAATAATAAAACTTCAGAAAAAGTCAAATAAATTCATGTCTTATCAAAAATATGACGTTGCAGTTCAATGTTCACTTGCAATTTCAAATAAAATGCGATGTGAATAAGATTTTAACATTAAACGATAACAAATTTCAAAAGTTTTTTTTTTTATATGTAATGTTTCCTCTGTTATTACTGTCATATTTGCAAATAACATTGGTAAAGGAGTAAACCTTGACACACAGTTTTATTTTTTTGGGAAAAAAACCGGCCACAAAAAATCAACTTTTTTTCTAATGTAAAAAGAAAACCACTATTTATAGAAGTCATTGTCCTTTGTTATTGTCAATTTTCGATTATATTTGAGTGTGAAAAATGATACTAGCATAAAATACAACATCGCTCGAATAATCTCGAGTGTGCAAAATTTGGCCGGTTTGGCACGCTCGAATTAATTCAATCGTGCCAAATCGGCATTGATTTTAATGCGAGAGGTTTAAATATTCGATTAGAGGTAAAAAGAAAGAAAAAAATGAACGTAGAGAAAAAAAGCTAACTTCACATTGTAACTTGAGCTTCTGAAGTTCCTCGGGCTTGCAATTCGATTTGAGTTTCCTAAGATGTATCCCTCTGCGTCTTTGTTTTTTATCAACGGCAGGTAGGGCAGATTCTACCAGGTTTTCCTCGTCATCGTCTTCTTCATCATCGTCATCCTCGTTATTTTCGTCATCCCGTTCGTCATTGTCGTCGTCTTCATCGTCATCGTCTTCGTCGTCTTCATCGTCATTGTCACACGCGTCACTGTTATTTTCAGGACCAGCTATCTCGTTGCGACGATAAGAAGATGAGGAATCGGCTAGTCGATGATTTTTCAGGACGTCAGCGTCGGCACGTCGACAATACGAACGTTGCAGGTCGTTTTTCGTAGCTGCAAGTGCGCAGGATTTGTCCGTGGAAGATGAAGATGAAGGACGATAATTGCTCCTTCCTACATCTCGCGAACACGGAACTACCGAAGTACTACGTTGTTCCGTATTTTCCTTCCACACCTTTATATTCAAACACAAATCCTATTAATTATCTCATCATTTAATACTACAATTACAAACTAATTTGATTCATTCAAAATTTGATTATTATATACAGGGTGAGTTACTGTATTCAAAAAATGTTGCCTGCATGGTTAAGGGGACCTTCTACTCTGCAATTAAAAAAAATTTTTTTTTTTTTTTTTA